GGGCTTTCGTAAACCACACCGGGTCTTCCTGTACCTCCCAAGCCCCATGCCAAACAGCATCAGTGACAATGAAGGATCTCTCTGGTAGAGGCTGCCCTTTTTGGAGGCATGTAGAGCCAGCAAACCTCACCTTGCTTGGAACTATGTTGAATGTCATCAGTTTCTAAGAGCAGGGGATCATTTGCAGATCATCACTCGCAGCACTTGCTTAGTCAATAACAACGTCACAAAGAAACCACACTTAGAACTTGAAATGTGGCTAGTCTGAATTGAGACGTACAGTAAGTCCTCACTTAACGTCATCAATAGGTTCTTGGAAAATGTGACTTGAAGCAAAACAATGTATAACAAAACCAGTTTTACATGGGCTAATTGACATAAACAAGAGATAAATTCCCTCTCAGCATAAGAAACTCTTAGCCCTTATGAGTTCCCTTGGATCCTTATTTACATGTTGGATATAGTCAGGTCAACTAAAGTACCCCAGACTCAAGCCTTGTGATGGCCCATATCCTCAACTGAATTGTTAGAATATAATTCTAGGGGAAAGAATATGCCTCCTTTCTCCTGTCCACTTTCAGGGTCAGGTATGTTTCCCTGTTGAATCTGGCTGGTGATTTCTTATTTATTAATCAGTGGGGAGGCAGAATAGGAAATCTAGTTACATTATTGGGCTGCATCTCTGAAATCCTAGATTTTCTTGGTAATAATGAATAGTAAAGAGAAAAATCTCTCTCTCTCTCTCTGTTTCTTTCTCTATCTCTCTGTTAGATACAGGGTCTTGCTCTGTCACCCAGGCGAGAGTGCAGTGTAGCTCACTCACTGTAGTCTTGAACTCCTGGGATCAAGTGATCCTCCTGCCTCAGCCTCCTAAGTAGCTGGGACCACAGGTGTGAGCTACCACACCAGCCTAATTAAAAAACATTTTTTTTTTTTTTTTTTTTTTTTTTTTAGAGACAGAGTCTCACTATATTGCCCAGGCTGGTCTTGAACTCTTGGCTTCAAGCTATCCTCCCACCTTGGCCCCCAAAGTGCTGGGATTACAGTGTAAGCCACCACACCCAGCCTGTCGTCTCTTAGCTCTAGGATCTAACTCTGACTCAACACACTCATTATTTGTTAAATTTGAAAATGGAAATAAATTATATGTGAAAGAGTCAGTAGATCTACCTCTGAGGTTTGTCAAATATTGCAGACACTGCTATTTTACCTCAGATAGAGGTCGTTTTTGTTGTTACCTTTTAACTTCTGAGCCCCTCACATTTTCTTAATCCATAAAATTATTTATGGCCCTTCCCATTGATACCGTATCAGTGATATATCTTACGGTTGAAAGGATTGAAAGTTTTCCAGTCTTTCGAGTGACTACTGCCTAACTTGTTTCAGGGTCCATTTCATTCCTTTCGGCTCTTGGCATTGTAATTTGCCTTTCTAGGTGTTATATACACTTTTCACAACAGGAAAGGCTGCAGCACAGGTGAGAGGTCAGGTTTTCTCAAAAGCATGTTCAGAGCAGGATAGTGATGGAGGAGCCAGGATGTTCCTGGGTGTGCTGCGGTAGACAGCCTAGGCAAACCTACCCCCAAAAATCTGACGAAGCTGAAAGGCTGAAAAAGAGGCTGATAAATCTGCCCAAGGGAAAGATTCATGGTCAAGGGTGTTTTGTCCTAAGTGCAGGATTCACAGTTAACAAGCTACAGTGGTGAGCAGGTCTACGCAAACTTGCCCCCAAAGGTTGAAGAAAGAGACTGACAAATCCAGTTTCTTAGGAAGAAACATTTAAAAGGGACTTAGGAACAGACACAATCTCTCTGTTGGCTGAGGGATGGTAGATTCCCGCACCTGTGCTCCAGAAAATATCCTCTATATAGCAAGCTTTTTCGGTAAAATGTGCAGCTGGTCATGCCTCAGACTTTGTACCAAAACTTGTGACCACTGTGGAGGTTAGATAAACATCTTTATGAGGGTCTATCCATGCCATGGAAACACCTTGGTATGCAGTAGTCAAACATCGGTCATCATGGCAGTTTTTCTTCAAGACGGCATCACTATTGCCATGCAACCAGCTGTTTCCCTGCCCTGGACCCAAGTTCCCCCTAAGTTTGTATTTAAAAAGGGCATCTTATCAACACATTTTAAGGTAACATGCTGACCTGGTGATTGTCAAGGCCAGAATGGAAAGACATAGTGGGAACAAGACTGTTGGTCGTGTTTTTACCAATTAAGGGATTTACCACGTGAATCCCTTAATTTACCAATTAAGGGATCCTTGTCTCCCCCAGGTGGATGTGTCTCTGGTTGAGGATGACCTTGAAAGGAACTGATTTCTAGCCATGGTGAATACTTAACTGATACCTAACTCCCAGTATCTTCCACTCATCCATCCTACTTTATTCCTTAGGGCTATGTAGAACAAACCCAGTCTTTACACTGAACCATCTTTTAGTTTAGTGTAAACCATGGGCTTCTTTCATGGGTTGTTTCATCAATCTTTCAATACAAAAAAGATACCTCTTCATACAGACTTTCTTAATACCTACTCTGTTGTTTCCATTCCACTTACCTCCTTCAGATACATTTTTTATTTTTGTTGGTTTTTTTCCTCGAAGCTCACTAGAATGAAAGTTTCATGAGGCTTTTCATGTCATTTTGTCATATGCTGTGCTTGGTGCATTATAGGCACACAGTACCCTCTGGCCTTATACTCTCACAGATTTGCAAGACCCCTACTCCAACCCAATGCAAACTCCTCTCTCTATGAAAAGAGATCCTTTTCCCCAATAGTTTCAACAGAAGTCATAGAATTGAGTTTCACTGGCCTGGCCAGAATCCTGTGCCCATCCGCAACAAATTACTGTGGCTAAGGGGATGGGCCACATTGCTTGGCTACTCTTGGGTCGCCTGCTCAACTGGAATAATGTTTTTTCTTTTTCTTTTTAGAGCCAGAGTCTCACTCTGGCTGGCTGGAGTGCAATGGTGCAGTCATAGCTCACTACAGCCTGCAACTCTTGGGCTCAAGTGATCCTCCAGCCTCAGCCTCCTGAGTAGCTGGGACTATGGGCATACACCACACTATGCCCGGCTAAGTTTTAACATTTTTATGGAGATGGTAGTCTCACTATGTCACCCAGGTTGGTCTCCAACACCTGGGCTCAAGTAATCTGCCTGCCTTGGCCTCCCAAAGTGCTGGGATTACAGGCGTGAGCCACCACACCCAGTCTGGAATAAGATTTGACTATTGTAGAATCACATGGCTAGCAGTGATGAAGGATTGATTACTGGAAAGACAATTAAGCACTGCTACTAAAAGGAAGGTGGAAGGAATGCAGGACAGGCAAAAGTACACAGGGAGGAATGCATATTCAGAAGGCCTGTTTGTCAAGCACTGTATAGGTTGAGCACCCTTAATCTGAAAATCCGAAGTCCAAAATGCTCCAAAATTCAAAACTTTTGAGCAGTGATGTGGTGCTCAAGGAAATACTCGGTGGAGCATTTCGGATTTCAGATTTTCCTATTGGGATGCTCAACTGGCATGTATTCTGCAAATACTAAAAAATCTGAAAACATCCAAAATCTGAAACACTTCTGGTCTCAAACATTTCAGATAAGGGATACTCAAGCTGCATATACATTATCCCATTTAATTTACATCACAACCCAACAAAATGGGTACTATTTTTACAGGAGAAAGCAGACTTAGAAAGATTAAGAAATTTGCCAGCTACAAGTTGATGAGCTGGGTCTCAAATCCAGGTTTGTTCGGTTCTAGGACAGAACCTATATGTAACATGTCTCTCTTCACCCCTACCACTCAGGTTTTATTCATGTGTCACCCTCAGTCATTCACTATGGTTCACTGGATAGCTAGGGAAGCACAGAACAAACACTCAGTATTTCACTCAGTTCAGGCTCTGTGCCCTGAGTGTGCCTGTCTTTGCCATCTTCTCCCAGCCAATGTTGTCTCTCCAATTTCTCCAGTTTTCCAGCCTTTCCATTAGACTGAAACTCAGGTCTGCTTCCATCTCTTCCACGTCTTGTCTGAAGCTTTCCCTGACGGTTTCACATACACTAATCCGTGTGAACTCTGAAGTTCACCACTTCTTCTTTGGGCCAATGGTGGGGTGGGGAAGGAAAGAGAGAAGAAACAAATTACTCTTTGGACAAATTCCATGCAAAGATTTTCAGCTGGGTAGACCCTTGCTTGATAAGAGGCCTGAAAAACGTTGGTAAAGTCCAAACCTACTTCTGAGTCTCAATTAGTACCTTTCTTCGTGGCTGAAAGGTTTCACCTCCAGAGTGTTTGTTAATAGGTTGAGGACAAAGACTCCCTGACCAGAATGAGCCTCCTCTGTCCTCTTGTTTAGCAGAATCTGGCACGTAGTAGGTACTCAGTGTATTGACTCAATATCATGCATCTGTTGTGTCCCAGTTATCTTCCACAGGGCTTGATGGGGTGACTTAAATAATTCAGGTTATTTCAATAAAAACAGCTCGGCATCATTAAGGCACAAGAGCCTCACCCTTCTACACCGCTTTCCACGAACTTCCAGTTGCCTTCCTTCAAAACCCTTGTGCTTTCTCAAGAACCCCACACAAATACCGCCCCTCTATCAAAACGTCCTCAGCTTTGCCAGGTAGAGAATTGCTTCTGCAGTAGCTGGGCCACGTCTCTGTGGTAGTGCCCACTTCATGGGATCGGTATTAATCTGTTTATCTTTCTCATCTTCTGGACTCTGAGCTCCTAGAAGTCGGCTTTTCCACCTTTTACCCAAGCCAAACGGTTATTCGCATACAGTTGGTTATAATTAAAATGTCGGTTTGTGCACATAGTTTGGGACTCTGTGTATGAGTACGACTAATACCTTCAATTTACTAAGAAGATAAAGAGGTCGATAAATGAGGAGGTCAAGCCCATTTTGCAAGGTCACACAGGAAAGAAGCAGATCACGAAAATGAACTTCGGCTGTCACCTGCGGTGGGCGCGCTAGAGGTCTTTTGAACTCCTTCGGCTACCGTCGCCAGGTTCTCTCGGTGCACTGTTATTCCGCGCCTGCGCGCGGCTGGAGTGCCGTCCATTTTTCCTTTAGTTGGGAAGGACGTTGGTATTGCGGTAAGTGTGGTCGGTTTTGCATCTCCACCCCGACACTTCGGGTTGTCACAACAGCAGCCTCCCGCTTTCTCTCTGCCTCGGATTTAGTCGTGATTCTGTGTGTCGGCCGTGGTGAAGCTTCGGGCCTCTCTTCCGCATCTACCCCCTCACGCTTCCGCTGCGGCCTCAGGAGGGCGGCGGGTGGACCACAGGGACCGGGTGGGTTGCGACGGCCCCACCGAAGCCGGGTGGGCTGCGGGACCCTCGAGGACCCAGCGGGTTCGGAGTGAGCCGACCCGGGGCCGGTACCCGCTGCGGTTTTTCCCAGCCATCGTGACCTTGGTGAGGTCATTTGACCTATTTGGCCCTGGTGTTTCTCCCGTGAAAAAAGAGGTGGTGGTTTCTTCTGCAGCTGGTCGTGAGGCGCAAGGGTCAGTGTAGGCGAAGCAGCTGGCAGCGTCGCTCGCTGTGTGGCAGCGTTTTAAATTAGAGCTGGGAAGCTGGAGGAGGGTCACCGTGCCTGCCGCAGGAGGGAAAGGATGGGCTTCCTGCAACCTCCGTCGCCCCACGGCTTCCCATCCTACCCCCGGCCGCGTTAGCTGAAGGCCTGCAGGGACGCAAGGGTCTTTGGGTCCCCGGGTGAGGCTGGGCAAAGGAGTAGTTAGGGAATTTGGGCCCTCATGGCAATTGCCGCGTTCCCGTCCAAGTTTTAATGGTATATCGTGTGACCTAGGAAAACACCTGCCTCATGATCTGACAGGGTTGTCGCGAAGATTTAACGAGTGGACAGAAAATTTTTAGAAGAGTAAATGTTCCATGAATGGGTTTGCCATCGTTAATCACAATGTGGAGCCAGTGCTTATTTTTCTTGTTGGGAAAGATTTTTGTTGCCTTTGCTCGCCCATTACTAGTGTGCCGCAGTTAGTCGCCTTTATTTACGGTAGTCGCTCAGTGTATGGGGGCTGGGGGAGGGAGAGGTGAAACAGGCTAAGCCAAGAGACAGCTTAGGCTTTGTGAGAGGAATCCATCCACTGTCGTGCTGTGATTCTCTAGGTAGTAAAATGTACTGTGCATGAGAATTCTTTTGATATGTTATTTTCTTCAGAGTTTTTCTTTTATTATTTTACCCGAGAAAGGAAAAAAAGCTCAGTAGGGAGAGCTACATGAGGTATGCAGGGCCCAGAGACCTGAGTATTGGACTTCAGTCCCGTCCCTCACCCATGTCTCAACCCAAATATTATTCCTGGATTTGTGACACAAATGACAGCGTTTAGTCAGTCAGTAGTTTATGTTATTTAAGTGTAAATTCTTGATGAACAATTTAGGAATTGCCTCTAATTTTTTCTTAACCCACTTGTAGGCTGGAATCCCAGCACTTTGGGAAGACGAGGTAGGGTGATCACTTGAGGGCAGGAGTTTTTAAGACCAGCTTGGGGAACATAGCTAGACCCTGTTTCTGCCAAAAAAGAAAAACATTTCATTTGTACCTGCTGCTAATCGGAGTTTATATTCAGGACAACTCCAATGCTTCCAGGTGGCCATTCTCAAGTTTATGGCTTAAATAAACTCTGTACTTAATCATATTTTCTGAATCTCTTAAGGTTGGCATACGTATCAAGGACAGTAACTACCATGGCACCTGAAGTTTTGCCAAAACCTCAGATGCGTGGCCTTCTGGCCAGGCGTCTGCGATTTCATATGGTTACAGCATTCGTGCTATCCCTGGGAGTTGCAGCTTTGTATAAGGTATGTATGTTTTTTACTTTGTGCCAGAGGTCATAAAGTATGTGTTTTTGGTTGAAAAATCTTTTAAAGAAATCCCCCTTGTAATGTGTTTCCTTCTAACCCTTTCTGCACTCACTTCAGTGTGACAGGAACTATAGCTTGTCCTCCATCTTTAAATGAAACCTGTTAGTTTGCTGGAATGCCATAACAAAGAACCATAGACTGGGTGCCTTAAATTTGCTCGCAGTTCAGGAGGCTGGAAATCTGTTGGCAGGGTTGATATCTTCTGAGGCCTCTGTTGGCTTGTAGATGGCTCCCTTCTTTGTCTTCACAGGGTCCTCTGTGGGCATATATCTGTGGCTGAACTTCATTTCCTTTTCCTTTCCTTCCTTCCTTTCCTTTTTCTGCCCTTCTTTTCATTTTTTTTCCTTCTTTCCTTTTTCTTTCTTTCTTTGAGACAGGGTCTTACTCTGTCACCCGGTACCTGGGACTGCAGGTACACACCACCACAACTGGCTAATTTTTATATTTTTTATAGAGATGAGGTTTCAGAGTTGGTCACGTTGTCCAGGCTGGTCTTGAACTCCTGGACTCAAGGGATCCACCTGCCTTGGCCTCCTAAAGTGCTGGGATTACAGTCGTGAGCCACCACACCTGGCTTGCTGAATTTCTTAAAAGAATTTCAGTCAAATTGGATTAGGGCCCACCCTAAATGGCCTCATTTTAACTTAGTTATCTTGTTAAAGCCCTTATTTCCAAAAACGTTTAGATTCTGAGGTACTGAGCGTTAGGACTTAAACACATGAATTTTGGTCAAACACAATTCAACCCATTACAGAAGCTAGTATGCAGAGGAGCTCTGCCCCTCTATCCATGGGGGATTGGTTCAGGAGCCCTGATGATACTTTAATTCATCTCTAGAGTACTTATAATGCCTAATGCAATATAAATGCTATGTCAGTAGTTTATACTGTATTTTTAATTTTGTAGCATTTTTTATTTTTTTCCTCAAATGTTTTCAGTCCTTGGTTGGCTGAATCCATGAGTGTGGAACGTGCAGGAATGGTCAGCTGATTATGGTTCTGTTTGACACTTTGAGTAATTGTCACAGAATTGCATTTTAACACTCTGCCTAATGTGGATTTTGTTATGCCCTTTATTTTTAATCAAAGGCTGCATATTTACAACTTTTCCATAAAAATGCTTTTGATAATATGTTTATTATTCTTGTCATAATACCCCATGAAAGAATTCAGAGCTTTGCTTTTAAACTCTGTACTTAATTTTTGTTTAGTGTTTATATTCTTTACTGGGCTGTGAGCCTCATTAAGGCAGGTACCATGTCTCTTGTTTACTGTGGCACTCTATTGCTGGGTGCTGGACACACAAATAGGTTATTAAAAGGACCTGTTGAATTAGAGGCAGTGTATAAAATTCAGTACGGTGTTAGGTAATGTAGAGTTCCCAGTGCTTTGGAGGACACAAAAGGCGTGTATCTAAATCTCTATTCTTAAAGAACTTAGAGTCAAGTTGGGGAGGTAAAAAAAAAAAATTAGAAGACATTGCAAGATAGAACATAACTGAAAGAATGGTTTTGGGGGACGTTGTGGGTCACAGTTATTGTGGGTCATAGCTATTTGATAGAGGAGGTGGAATCTGAGCCTTGCAAGTAAGGGAGAGGGACTGGGTCTGGTGGCTCATGCCTGTAATCCTGGTACTTTGGGAGGCCGAGGTGGGCGGATTGCTTGAGCTCACGAGTTCAAGACCAGCCTGGGCGATATGGAAGAACTACGTCTCTACTAAAATACAAAAATTAGCTGGGCATTTCTTTTCCTTTTTTTTTTTTTTTTTTGAGACGGAGTCTTGCTCTGTTGCCCAGGCTGGAGTGCAGTGGCACGAACTCGGCTCACTGCAAGCTCCGCCTCCTGGGTTCACGCCATTCTCCTGCCTCAGCCTCCCGAGTAGCTGGGACTACAGGTGCCCACCATCATGCCCAGCTAATTTTTTTTGTATTTTTTAGTAAAGATGGGGTTTCACCGTGTTAGTCAGGATGGTCTCGATCTCCTGACCTCGTGATCCACCCGTCTCGGCCTCCCAAAGTGCTGGGATTACAGGCGTGAGCCACGGCACCCAGCCGCATTTCTTCTAAAATTACAAAAATACATGATATGCCTGTGGCCTTAGCTACTCGGGAGATTGAGGTGAGAGGTTGGCTTGAGCCTGGGAAGCAGAGGTGTCAGCCAAGATTGGGAGGCGAGGCCAGGTGCAGTGGCTCACGCCAGTTATCCCAGCACTTTGGGAGGCAGAGGCGGGCAGATCACCTGAGGTCAGGAGTTTGAGACTAGCCTGGCCAACACGGTGAAACCCCATCTCTAGTAAAAATACAAAAAAATTAGCTGGGCGTAGTGGCGGGCACCTGTAATCCCAGCTGCTTGGGAGGCTGAGGCAGGAGAATTGCTTGAACCCAGGAGGTGGAGGTTACAGTGAGCCGAGTTCGTACCATTGCACTCCAGCCTGGGCAACAAGAGCAAGACTCTGTCTCAAAAAAAGCAAAAAACAAAAAAAATGGGGAGGCGGAGGTTGCAGTGAGCGGAGATCGCACCACTGCACTCCAGGCTGGGTGATAGAGCCAGACTGTCTCAAAAAAAAAAATTAGGGAGAACTGGGAGAGCAAAGAGGAGATGGAACACTGAGAAAGCAGTAAGTGGACCTATGCTTTGGTACTCTTTGGAGAGACAAGCACAAAAAATCTTTTGGTGCTTGAGATTCCTGCTGCCTGGCCTATATAGTGGGCATGAAGTAAACGTTTGTAGAAGCGATGGATGTGATGCAGAGTTTTTGCTCCTTAGTTTAGCTAAATTTGGGTTCTTGTGTCACAACCAGGAGAAATTAGGCACATGGACACACTGAAGGGTGAGGAGGGCTGAATTTATTGGGTGAAAAGGAACAAATAAAACAGACTCGGCAAAGTGAGGGGGTGTCCTGCTAACAGGCCCCCACCTCACAGATTGAATACCAGGCCACCACACAGGAGCTGAAAAGACTAGGGTTCTTCCCACTGCAAAAGGTGCAACTTCTCCTGGCTCCACCCTATTTACCCCCAGTGTGCCTGTGGCCATTAGTCAGAAAGAATCAGTCCTGAAAGGGCAGGCAAATGTGCAGTTCTCCCTCAGTGTCGTGGGATCTGGGTCCAACAGTCAGCCTTCAGGCTGTTTTTCCAGGACCTTTGGCTGTCTCCTGTCTGTCAGATGGATGATTAAATGAAGTAGGGAGAGTCCAAATTAACCGTATGTGTAATGATGGCCCCCAGCACTTGCGCTTCTGCCTCTTTTTATTTTATTTTTTTCAAGACAGAGTCTTGCTCTGTCACCCAAGCTAGAGTGCAGTGTCACGATCTCGGCTCACTGAACCCTCCGAGGCCTCCCGGGTTCAAGCAGTTCTCCTGCCTCTGCCTCCTAAGTAGCTGGGATTACAACTGCCCACCACCATGCCCGGCTAATTTTTGTATTTTTAGTAGAGATGGAGTTTCATCATGTTGGCCAGGCTGGTCTCCAACTCCTCACCTCGTGATTCGTCCCCCTCGGCCTCCCAAAGTGCTGGGAGTATAGGCATGAACCACCACACCCGGCCTCTGCCTCTTGATTTATTACTGGGAAGAAATTGGTAATTCAAGTAGAAGTGAAGTAGTAAAACTGGTCAGGTAAAGGATTCTTACTACATTACTCCATCAGGTAGCATGATTTTTGTGTATTTCTGCAGAGGGAGACCCCATGTTTAAAAAAAAAATAATAGTAAAATCACTTAAACTTTCCATATTTTGTCTTGGATCTTCATTTGTTCTTTCTCTGTTGAACCCTGCCCGCCCTTTGTGTACGGAAACCTCAAACAAAACAAAATAGACACCTTATTCCCCCATTCTTTTCTTTGCAAGTGTAGCTATTTCTTACACTTTGTCTTCCTTTTTTATCTGTCACCACCTCCACCCCTTAGAAAATGTAGGGTTTAAATTAAAGGGTGAACACAAACATGTGTGCTACCTTGTCTTTAGATATTATAATCTGAAATCTAATTTCCAGTAATCTGAAAAATAAACTAATGGATGGTTGCTTTTTAGGTTGGTGTGGCTGATAAAAGAAAGAAGGCATACGCAGATTTCTACAGAAACTATGATGCCATGAAAGATTTTGAGGAGATGAGGAAGGCTGGTATCTTTCAGAGTGTAAAGTAATCTTGGAATATAAAGGTAATATGGTTATTTGAAGTTACTTAAAAATTTTTCTAATTGTGGTAAAATGCAAATACAGATGACTGTCCGTGACTTACAATGTTTGGACTGAAGATTTTTTGACTTTACGATGGTGTGGAAGTGATACACATTTGGTAGAAACCATACTTTGGATTTTGATCTTTGTCCACATGAGCAGTAAGTGGCACAATACTTTTGTGATGTGGGGGAGCAGCAATGACCACATCTCCCAGTCAGACACATAATCACAAAGGTAAACAACGGATGCTGTACTCGGTAGTGTTGTGTGAGATACTCAGTGTTTTGTTATAAGCTAGGCTTTGTGTTAGATGATTTTCTGCAACTGTAGGCTAACATAAGTGTTCTGAGCACATTTAAGATAGGGAAGGCTAAGCTATGATGTAGGTTAGGTGTATTAAATGCATTTTCAACTTAAGATATTTTAAACTTATGATGGTTTTATCAGAATGTAACCTGATGGTAAGTTAAGGAGCATCTGTAATATAAAATTTGCCATCTTAACCATTTTTAATTGTACAGTTTAGTAGTGTTAAGTTCATTCACATTGTGCAACCAGTCTCCAGAATTCTTCATCTTATGGAATTGAAACTATATCCATTAAGCAACCCATTCACACCTCCACTTAGACCCTGGCAGCCACTGTGTTACTTTCTAAGAATTTGGCTACCCCAGGCATCTCCTAAGTAGAATCATATGGTATTTGTTTTCTTGTGACTGGCTTATTTCACTTAGTGTAATGTACTCAAGGTTCATCCATGTTACAGAATGTGTCAAAGTTTCCTTTCGTTTTAAAGCTGAATGATCTATTTTAGTTGTGTCACATTGTTATGCATTCATCCATCAGTAGACGCTTGGGTTGCTTCCAGTTTTTGATTGTTGCGAGTGATACTGTGAACCTAGGCATACAAATATTCCTTCAAGGCCTTGCTTTCAGTTCTTTGGGGTTATATTCAAAAGTGGAATTGCTGGAATCATAGGATTTTTAATCTCTTAAGAAACTGCCATACCGTTTTCCATAGTGGCTGCACCATTTTACACTCTTTCCATCCTCCCCAACACTTTTTTTTAACAGAATCTCCTTCTGTCAGCCAGGCTGTAGTGCAATCATGGCTCACTGCAGCCTCAGCCTCCCAGGCTCAAGGGATCTTCCTGCCTCAGCCTCCCAAGAAGCTGGCACTGTAGGCATGTGCCACCATACCTGGCTAACTTCTGTATTTGTAGTAGAGACAGGGTTTCACTGTATTACCTGGGCTGGGCTTGAATTCCTGGGCTCAGGTGATCCATCCACCTTGGCCTCCCAAAGTGTTGGGATTACAGGCGTGAGTCACTGTGCCTGGCATAATTTTGGTATTTTTGATAGTAGCCATCCTAATAGTTACGAGGTGTTATCACATTGTTGTTTTGATTTGCATTTTCCTGATTATTTGTGATGTTAAGCATCTTTTCATGTGCTTATATGCCATTTGTATGTTATCTTTGGAGAAGTTTATTCAGTTCCGCTCATTTTCAAATTTGGTTTTTTGTTTACTGGTTAAGTTGTGGTTCTGTATATATTCTGGATATTAACCCCTTATTAGATATGATCTGTAAATATTTTCTCCCATTTCATAGGTTGCCTTTTCACTCTGTTGTGTCCCTTGATACACAGAAATTTTGATGTCGAATTTATTTTTACTTTTGTTTTATGTGCTTTTAGTGTCATATTCAGTAAGTCATTGCCAAATCCAGTGTCATGAAGTCTTTTTTATGTGTTCTTCTACGAGTTTTATAGTTTTAGCTCTTATCTTTAGATCTTTGATTCACTTGAATTTTTGTCTAGGGTGTAAAGAGCCAACTGTATTCTTTTACATGTGGTATCCAGTTTTCCCAAAATCGTTTGTTAAGATTGTCCTCTTCCATGGAATGGTCTTGGTACCTTGGTGAAATCATTTGACTCTAAATGTGAGAGTTTATTTCTGGGCTGTCTATTTCATTAGTCTGTATGTCTGTCTTCAGGTCAGTACTACACTGTTTTGATTACACTAGTCTGTTTAAGATATGTTTCAAGACCCCTCCAGTGATTCTTGAAACCACAGATAGTACCAAATCCTGTATATATTATGTTGTTTTTCCTATACATACCTACCTATGATGACATTTAACTCATAAATTAGGCATAGTAAGAGATTAGCAACAATAACAAAATAGAACAATGATAGTGTGTAGTAATATAAGGTGAATGTGATTTCTCAATATCTTGTTGTACCGTCCTCACCTGTTTTTGAACTGCAGTTGACTGTGGGTAACTGAAGTGGTAGAAGGTTAAACCACAAATAAGGGATGACTGCTACACTGTAGCTTTGTAGTATGCTTTAAAATCAGTAAGTGTGAGTCCTTCAGCTTTGTTCTTTTTTTCCCCCTGCCCCGAGAGTGTTCTAGCTATTTGGGGTTTCTTAAGAGTGTGAATTTTAGGATGGATTTTTCTATTTCTGTAAAAAATGCCATTGGGATTTTGATAGGGATTGCATTAAATCTGTAGATTACTTTTGGTAGTATGGACATCTTAATACTATTAAGTATTCCAATCCATGAACATGGGATGTCTTTCTTCTTCTTTGTATCTTTAATTTCTTTTAGCAGTATTTTGCATCTTTAATTTGTTTTATTGTTGCTAATCTCTTACTATGCCTAATTTATGAGTTAAACTTTATTATAGGTGTGTGTGTATATAGGAAAAAACATAGCTATGTAGGGTTTGGTACCATCCCTAGTTTCAGGAATTCACTGGAGGTGTCTTGAAACATACCACCCTGGATAAAAGGAGACTACTGTAATCAAAACAGTGTGTCCAAGGACACACATTTCTTTCCATATTTTTCCTTTATTTTACAGTGACGTGTTTCAGTTTCCTTCTTATTTCCGTTTGTTTTGTGTATATTCTGTATTTTCTTTGTGTATATTCTGTATTTACTGTGGGGATTGCATGATTGAGATTTGCTAGTTTTTTTTTTTTAGCAGTGTACAGGTATATATCTTTCATCTAGGTCAGTGTTTAAGTCTTTCATATTCCTGGTTAAATACATTCCTAAGTATTATTTTTGTGCTATTATAAATAGAATTATTTTCTTAATTTCCTTTTTTAGGGATTCCTTTATTTCCTTCTTGTTGGTGTATAGAAAGAGCTGATTTTTGTATCCTCCAACTTAGCAGAATTCATTTATTTTGATTTATTCTGACACTTCTGTGTGAGAAATCTTTAGGGTTTGCTGGAGGTAAGATTATGTGATCTGTAAACAGATAGTTTTACTTATTCCTTTCCTTTTTGGATGCTGCATATTCCTTCTTGCCTTACTGCTCTGGCTAGGACTTCTAGTACTACATTGAATAGAAGTGGCAAGAGTGGGCATCCTTGTCTGGCTCTAGGTCTTAGAGGAAAAGCTTTCACGTTTTCTGTGTTCAGTATATTAGTTTGTCCTTTTTGGCCATGGTTGGGTTGAAGTACATTGCTTCTGTTGATAGTTTTGATCATGAAAGGATGTTGAATTTTGTCAAATACTTTTTCTGCATTTTTTTGAGATGTGTTTTTTATCCTTCATTCTGTCAGTGTGGTATGTCACAAAATGTGTTGAACTGTCCTTGCATTCTAGGGATAAATTCTACTTAATCATGGTGTATGATTCTTTTAATGCACTGTGAAATCTGGTTTGCTAGTGGTTTGTTGAGGATTTTTTGCATCTGTGTTCAAGGATTTGGCCTATAGTTTTCTTGTGTGTTTGTCTTTGGTATCAAGATAATGCTGGCCTTATAGAATGAATGTGGAAATGTTCACTTTTTCTCACTGTTTTTGGAAAAACTTGAGGAGGATTGGTGCTGGTTTCACAGAGGTCTGGGCATGGTGGCTCATGCCTATAATCCCAGCCCTTTGGGAGGCTGAGAAAGGAGGATCACTATAGCCCAGAAGTTAAAGATCAGCCTGTGCAACATGGCAAGACCCCGTCTCTACCAAACAAACAAACAAACAAAAATAAATATATATATATATATATTTTTTAATTAGCTGGGTGTGGTGGTACATGCCTGTAGTCTCAGCTATTTGGGAGGCTGAGGCAGGAGGTTCACTCGAGCATGGGAGTTTAAGGCTGCAGTAAGCTATGATCACAGCAGTGTACTCCGTCCTGGATAACAAAATATGAGACCCTGTCTCAAAAAAAGTTTGGTAGGATTCACCATGTGGTCTTGGACTCTTCTTTGTTGAAGTTTTTGGCTACTGACTAAAAATTCTTACTAGTTATAGATGTTCAGATTACTTTTTTCCTGATCCAGTCTTGGTTAGGATTTCTAGGGTGGGTGTGGTAGCTCATAAAGCCTCTAATCCCAGCACTTTGGGAGGCCAAAGCAGGTGAATTGCTTGAGCCCAGGAGTTTGAAACCAGCCTGGGCAGCATGGTGAAACCCCGTCTCTACAAAAAAAAAAAAAAATACAAAAAATAATGTGTGTGATGGCGCATGCCTGCAGTCCCAGCTACCTGGGAGCATCACCGGAGCCTGGGAGGTCAAGGCTGCAGTGAGCAGTGATTGCACCATTGCACTCCAGCCTAGGTATCAGAGGGAGATGCTGTCCCCACCCCCCGCAAAATTTTCTTTTTTGAGTTGTGTATTTCTATTTCTTCTAGGTCATCCCGTTTGTTTACATGTAATTGTTCATAGCATTCTCACTCCTTTTAGATCTGTACAATCAGTTGTAATGTTCCCTCTGTTATTTGGTGGTTCTCTTTTTTATTAGTCTGACTAAAGGTTTGTCGATTTGATCTTTTCAAAGAACTGACTGTTGGCTTTGATTTTTCTCTATTGTAGTCTATTTTGTTTATCTCTAATATTATTTACCTCAGATACATTTGGATTTGATTCCTCTTTTTCTAGTTCTTAGGTTGATATAGTTTTTCTTTTAAAATTTCCTTGTCATTTATTTTTGTTGATTGTTAGTCTGTTTAACTGAAACACATTTGTGGATTTTCCTCTTTTCCGTTGGCTTTTGATTTCTAGTTTCATGCCATTGTGATCAGAAAAGATACTTTGTATGATTTCCAGTCTTTTAAAATTTAAGACTTATTTTGTGACCTAAAATATGGTTTGTCTTGGAGAATGTTCCATGTGCTCTTGGGAAAAATGTGTATTCTGTTGTTAGATGGAGTGTTTTGTTAAGTCCAGTTGATCAAGTCCTGTGTTTTCTTATTAATCCTTCTGTCTAGTTGTTCTGTCAGTTATTGAAAGTGGGATATTGAAGTCCTTTACTGCTATTGTAGAGCTGTCTGCTTCTCCCTTCAATTCTGTCAGTGTTTGCTTCATATATTTAGAGCTCTGATGTTTGGTGCATATGTATTTATAATTGCTAGATCTAGAATTAATCTTTTTAAATTATAGAATGTTCTTGTTTGTCTCTTGTAACATTTTAGACTTGGTCTATTTTGTCCCATTTAGTGTAGCTACCCCTGTTCTCTTGGTTACTGTATGTGTGGTACACCTTTTTCCACCCTTTCACTTTCAGCTTACATCTACAGTGAGTCTTACATCTTGTGTGTCCTTACATCTACAGTGAGTCTTGTAGACAGCATATAATTGGATCCAGGTTTTTAATCCATTCTGTCGTTGTCTTTTGGTTGGGGAGTTTAATCCATTTACATTTAAGGTTATTACTGATAAAGACACAGTATTGCCATTTTGTTTTCTGTATGTCTTACAGCTTCTTTGTCCCTCATTTCTTTCCTCATTCTTTTATAGTGACATGTTTCAGTCTTTCCTTTTGTATTCAGTATTTTCTTTGTGGTTACCATGGGAATTACGTGAAATATGCTAAAGTTATAATGATTTATTTTAAACTTATAACAACTTCAATTGCATGTAAAAACTCAACTCCTTTACACCACCCACCCTCTTCTCCTGTGTTACCGGTATCACACATTATGTGTTTATATATTATGTATCCATTAACATGGACCTATAGTTCTTATGCTTTTGTCTTTTAAATCCTATAAAAGAATTAAAAGTGAATTTACAGACCAATTTTTTTTTTTTTTTAAAAAGAGATGGAGTCTCACTCTGTCACCCAGGCTGGAATGTAGTGGTGCAATCTCGGCTCACTGCAACTGCCACCTCGTGGGTTCAAGCAATTCTCATGCCTCAGCCTCCCAAGTAGCTTGAATTACAGATGCGCCCCACTGTGCCCAGCTAATTTTTATATTTTTAGTAGAGATGGGATTTCACCGTGTTGGCCAGACTGGTCTTGAACTCCTGACCGCAAGTGATTTGCCTGCCTGGACCTCCCAAAGTGCTGGGATAACAGGCAGGAGCCACTGTACCTGGCACAAACCAAATTTTAATACAAGTTTCTGTATTCTTTGCCAGATAACTTTATATTTTCACATGACTTTGAGTTACTGACTGGTGTCCTTTTTGTTTCAACTTGAAGGATTCCCTTTAGCATTTCTGTAAGGCAAATCTAATGATAAAACTCCTTTGACTTTTTTATCTGGGAATTTCTCCTTCATTTTTGAAGGACTGTTTTGTGGGATGTATTATTCTCAGTTGACAGGTGTTTTGTTTGGTTTTTTAAGCTCTCTGCCCTTTTTCTATATTGGTCTGCTTGGTGTAGTCAGATGTCTTAAGCTAGTTACTTTTTTTTTTTTCTCTTCCAGACTTTTAAAAATTTAATTTTATAGAGATGGGGTCTCACCATGTTGCCTAGGCTAGTCTTGAACTCCTAGGCTCAGGTGATCCTACCACCTTGGCCTCCCAAAGTTTTGGGATTACAGGCATGAGCCACCATGTCTGGCCTGCTCTTCAGACTTGATAACTTCAAATGATCTGTCTTCAAGTTTCCTGATTCTTTCCTCTGCCTGAGTCTGCTGTTAAATCCCTCTAGTGATTCCTACCCCTTCTCCCCCCATTCAGTTACTATATTTTTCACCTCCAGAGTATGTTTGGTTTTTAGAAATCATTTTCTCTTTGTTTATATTCTCACTTGCTTATATAATGTTTATCTAATTTTGCTTAGTTGTCCACATTCTCCTTTAGCTCATTGAGCATTTTTTAGATAGTTTTTCTTAATGTTTTTTAGAGTAAGTCAGCAGCTTCTGTTTCTTCAGGGTTGGTTTGTGGAGATTTGTTTCTTTCAATCGTTCATGTTTCCGTATTTCTTTATGTGCCTTGTGATCTTTTGTGAAATTCAGGCATTTGCAAAACCAGCTACCTCTCCCTGTGCAGACTGGCTCCATGCATGGAAAGGCCTTCACTGATTAGCGCACCATAAAGGCTTGGTGTCCTCTCAACTTTTTCTGGGGATGCCATCTTCCCTGGGCCTTTGCATATGCATTAGTTTTAGTTTCCTCCTATACACAGCTGCCTTTAGTTTTTCTTAGTTTTCCTGAGTTTGCCTCCAGCTTCCTCTTGGAGTCTTAGCTGTTCTGTTGTAGTCTTTTGCCTCTGCTCTCTTGCCCACAGGTTTCTGTAGGTCTGTGTTCCCCTGCAGCTCACTCATGCCATGGTACCCATTATTGCTTTCAGCTCTTTCCAACCTCCTGTCCAAACTATGCCATTGTTCCCATTAGCACTCTGATTCAGGAAAGACAGAAAGCAGTCCCTTGGGCAGCTCCATACAAACCAGAACATTGCAGGCCAGTTTCATTCTTTATGTCCTAAGGGAAGAGACAGGGTAGTTTTCTTCTGACTGTATTGCACTGAGGAGGGCGTTTGGCAAGAGTGAGCAAAAATGCCATTTCCTGCTACTTTGAGTGTGACTTTTTCTTGGTTAGGTGGTTCCTTTGGTTGCTGCTCAACTGTTTTCTAGAGTTCTTACAAAGCTAAACTTTTTTAAATTTTTGGTCCATATATTTATTCATTATTTTTTGTGGAGGTTTGGGGACCTGGAGCTTCACAGTCTATCTTGCTGACATGAAACTACTTTTTATGTTTAAAATCATTTTTATAGGTTATACTATTAATTGCTAGATTGGCATTATGAATGTTACACTTTTAGAAGTCACTTTTTAAAAAAAAAAGTATTTGGGACACTATAGTTTGTTAGGTGGGTGTCCACGAGTGACTAGCTGCCTTTCCATAGGTCTGGTTTGGTCTGTTGTATTCACAAGGTCCTTATGCATCATGGACAGTGTGAATTAAAGTTCTATATCTAGAAAAGGACAGACTGCTGTGCTGATGAAAAGTCATCTAAATTGATTTGATAGCATGTATGAAGTACCTGATGAGACTTCCTACTCTGGAATCTTATGTGTATATTTAACAAAAAAGAACAATGTAAAGTCTCTTTTTGACACTTTAGTCTGGGTTTATGCCTTGTAAATGAGTTTGCTGTGACACAGAGAATGTGAAACTGCTATTCTGGCAGTATTCCTAAATAAGCATTTCAGTTGCACTATATATATGGGGGTTACATCCCCATAAACCTTATATGTTGAGAATATCATAAGTCAAAAATGCATGTAAGACCCCAGAAAATCCATTAGAAAGTCAAAAAATTGTAAGTCAAACCATCATAAGTTGGGTATCGTGTATTAAGGAAAAAAGATCAAGAAAATACTAATGGTTGTTTATAATCTTAACATACTTGCTTTAACTTTGAAATTTTCAAAATTTACAGGGAGCATGCGTTTTATAATCAGAAGATATTAATAGGCTAAATTTGTTAGATTTTTACCATTTTTAAGATTATGTTTAAAAACCTATATGAGAGAACATTTGGAGACAGGAACAAAAATATGGCTTGGAACAGAAACAATATGTGGCTAAATAAGGGGGAATGGCGGTGGGGTGGGGGTAGTGGTGGGCGTAGAATTGAGGAGAAGGAAAAAAGCAGAATTTGTTCAATGCACACAAGCAATGACAGTAAGGTGTGGTATGCCCAAAATGGAAAAGAGGCTATTCAGAGTGGTCAGGGAGCTTAAAGGAGAGTGAAACTTGGAGTCCAGGTAGCCTGAACTGTGCTTTTTCTGTGGCTAAGAGTGAGTGATCAAGGTGTGAAGTCTACTAGTAGGAATAGACCTCAATTGATCCTCAAAGATGGTGAGTATTGAGAGAGTGTTTATCACTAACTTAGCCTTTGTGTTTCTCTTCACAGAATTTCTTCAGGTTGAATTACCTAGAAGTTTGTCACTGACTCCTGAACTATGACACATGAATATGTGGGCTAAGAAATAGTTCCTCTTGATAAATAAACAATTAACAAATACTTTGGACAGTAAGTCTTTCTTAGTTTTTAATGATAATGCAGGTCACTTAATAGCATCAGAATTGGTTTGGGATTTAACTGTTTATGAAGCTAATTTGATTTCCATGTTATTTAAAATTTCATTGTTCTAGCACTTCTTTAACTGTGATAGTTTGTCCGTTTCATTGCAGTTACTTGGTCTTGGGCCATGGATTAAAGTGTTCTTCATGAGCCTGTAAGACTACTGTACTGTGGACTCTAAGAAGAGATAGAATCCTAATAAAATCTATCCCTTGGCCTTCATTGCCACTATTTGGTAGCTGTGCCACCACCAGATAGTTGAAATAGGTAATTCAAATGTAGGGTTTCTTACTCAATATTGCTTTATTAATAACAAGCTAACAGTATGTAATAGAATTTGGATATATATCTAATCCAGAAAAGGTTACTTAACTAGAATTGAGTAATGTCTGCTAAATGACAAGCAAAGTATGGTACTTTTTCAGAGGTCTTTTTAGGACTTCAATTCATGTTTATTGCGAGCAAAGTGATACTGGAGAACTTCAAAAAACAACACTTATTCAAAGCTAATTTAATCAGTAACTTTATTATAACAAAACCTGTATATTAACCCATTTAAACTCTTGTAAAATTCAGTGATGTGAGCTGTATTAAACCCAGGTATTAGAGAAAATTTGCATTGTAAAACCTGGTAACAATAGACATGTATGGGTGGTCAGTAATTCAAGGATACCTTTTAAACAGTTTTATATAATTCATATCAATATGCAAAATTACCATAAAAGATACAAGGATTAATGCATATTTACATTTTTAGAAATACTTTTGAGGTTCACAACTGTCACTTTTCTAAATGAGTATTTACAGAACAAAGAACAATTTTTCATAGTCAGAATTGTTCATTAAATCTTGCTTTCCAGTAACAATTACATAGTGACTTCTTATGCCCAACATGTGAGAGTTGAAGATCAGTGGGTGTTGGGCGTGGTGGCTCACACCTGTAATCCCAACAGTTTGGGAGGCGGAGGTGGGAGGAATGCTTGAACTCAGGAGTAAAAGACCAGCCTGGGCAACATAGCGAGACCTTATCTCTAGAACAAATTTAAAAAGTCAGCCAGGTATGGTGATGTATACCTGTGGTGGTGCAGTCTCAGCCGCTTGGAAGGCTGGAGTGAGATCCCTTGAGCCCAGGCAGTGAGCTTAAGCTGCAGTGAGCCATGACTATTCCACTGTACTCTAGTCTGGGTGACAGAATGAGACCCTGTCTGTCTCCAAAACAAGTAAAACCCGTGGGCATTTAAAATTGCATTATCTTAGCATCTCAAAGTTGTAGGTAACAAGCTGTAGCCCCAAATTTAAATGTAATCAGCAAACATGTTCTAAGTTACTGGACTGTAAGTAAGATAATTTACTGAACATTGAAGACATCTTGGTAACCCAAGATCTTGAGTCAAACCCATTCTTAGGGGCAAAATATTATCAGACACTGGGAATATCTTCATGCTTTATCGAGTCAGTTCCACAGAATAAACGAAATGGACTGGTATAATTATTAGCATTAATATTGGGGTTGTTGTGTGCTCTACGGCATACCAGGGAGTTCCCACTATGTATGTTTTGTTTATGGAACTAGAGAAACTCACCTGAGCACTTTGGGACTGGATTCAATATAGGACAAAGGATTTACTCAGAGTTTGCTTAGTAAAACACAAACTGGAAAAACACTTTTTCTAAAATGTACCTGGACAGTAATCAGACTGTTTTGTAAATTTTAGTAAAATGCAGACTTCAGAGAAAATACACATAGCAGCTTTCAATCAAAGAACAGCATTGCAGTTAAGTGACAAATGTAATAAGCCACAAAGTCCTAAGCATTTCATTTAAAGAATCCTAGGCCTTTCCAGACCAAAGAGCATGAGGCAAACGTGGTGACTCGGCCCAAAAACAGATGCAACTTTTAAGTTTTAACTCTGGCTCTCCATTGTAAGGCCGGCCTGGCCACATTCTGTGATGGAACAGAGAGTTAATAGATCCAAATTACAGTAGAAATTTTTGCAAGTGTCGTAGAGCAAAAAGAAATGCATCCTCTGTATGTGGTAAGGGACCTGCTAATCATTGTAAGTGGGAAAGGAACACGGTTTTGTCACTTTGAAGTATCTTTTAGAGGTAAGGATCTAAATAAGGAAACTGTTGGCCTTGTGTCCATATCAGATGTTAGAGCTGCCTAGGCTTTTTTAAAAAAAATGCAGCCCTGTATGGTGGCATGTGTCTGCAGTCCTAGCTACTTGTGGGTTGAGGTGGGAGGATTGCTTGAACCACAGAATTTGATGTCAGCATGGGCAATGTAGTGAGACCCTGTCTCAAAGAAACCCAAAAACTAAATCACACAAGTATGAATCAATACCTCAGAGGGGACTCAAGGAAACCCTTTCCTCAGGGCTTTATTTTTCACCATGGTAAATTTACTAAGGAAGACCTGAGCAAAATGTGGATCAACCAAGTAATGGTATGTTTTAACAGTGGAGGGGGGAGGTTCTGCAGCCACCACAGGGCATGGTATTTGCATGGAAGAACAGCTAGGGGCCAGGTGACAAGATGTCTTTGTGATGTAGTCCACAAGTCTGTTGTACTGTTGCTCTGACAGTCTCTCTCGGACTCCATCTACCTAGGATCCAAAAATAAAGATTAGTTGCCAGACCCTTATGAGAGTTCCAGAACAGAATTAGTTCTTTTGCCTTGATATATTTGTACATTATGCCTTTTAGGTCATCTATTAAAGCCATTAATCCAAAATGTTTCCTTTTTTCCTCTGAGATACGGCAATGATAACAATGCACTTTTAGCAGTATAACAAAAGTTGTGCATGAGACTTAGGACAGCCTCCTTTGAATAAGCATTTGGTGTTGTGTAAAATTCCCATGTTTGAAGTTGACGATTTGATAACATTCTACTCACTAACCATTAAAACATCTGTCATTGCTCTGTAGCAACCAGCCCAAGAAAAAAGGAGAAAAATCTTTCCTCCACATAAATCTATTCAACATTAAACTCAGCACTGAAATAAAAGCTCTGTTTGCCTAGCTCCCAAACCTCTTCAGATAGAACATCTTAAAGTGGAGAACACCTCTTTCAAACCAGTGGCTTTGGACAGAGCATTAAAAAACCTTTTGAACTGTAACATTTTCTGCTTTTATAAATCCTAGGATTTAAAGCCAGAGAAAATAGAAAAACTGGGCAGCGGAAGGGGAAATTTTTATGGAAAGAAGAGGATGCAAACTACATTTATGGTTCATAAAAGTCTGGCTCGTCTTCAGTGGAACACAAATAGAACTGAGATATACTAGGTTCTTCAGTGAGATTTTTCTGAGAAAGCGCTCATCAAATCATTCAAAGGCAGCTGAAGCTATAAATTCTTCCCACCCTGAAGTCCTTTAGCTATCTAGTGTGTAGATCAAGTGGAGTGGGAAGTTTGCAGTTGTAAGCCACTGATTTGTGAATCTCAGGTAGCCACCAAACTTTCTATGGTTTTTGCCTACTGAACATTGGCAAGACTACTCTGGAAGATATGATAATGTAAAGACTTCCTAGTTCTGTGTGTGGTCCAGTAACAATGCTATCAAAGTGTCTTAACAGCTGGAGAAAGTCCGTGTGATGGCACAGAGATAGTAAAGGGGCTTGCTAGAGAAATAAGTAAGGAGTCCCTTAGAGTTTGGATCTTGTGTTTTTAAGCTTGGGGAAAAACGGTCCCCAAAGATTCAAAGCTCTGCACCACCAGGCAAAAGCCAGAGCTCTGATATCATTTGATGGGGCCAGAATTCAGCTGGAAAGCTTTGAATACACAAAAAGTTTTAATTGCTCCTCCTGAACAGCAGCACAGGAAAACCCGTGTTGTGAAAGGAACCCAGCCAAGGAATAAATTGACCTTCTGACTCATTTTGAGCCTCTCATAAGGGATTTCAATAATGTGCCAAGCATATTAAGCAATTATTACCCCTAAACTGGTTGCATTTAACCAAGAAAAGCAAATGCTGAGTTAAAAAAAAATCTCAATCCTGCCATATTTAAATGTACTGCATGATGTCATCTACAAATTAATTCCTTCCAAAATTCAAAGGAACTGTATTTCCTAGCATCTAAGGCAAAAGCTAAAAACCAGAAAAGTCATTTATAGAAGATCTTAAAATACTGCTTTTAGTCTTCACTGGAAGTGTTCACAGTAGACAGGCTTCCTTATGTCTGTGGATTATGTTGGGATGCACTAAAAGACAGCTCAAGAAAGCTCCCTGACAACATAGCACTGCTGGCCACCCTCCCCCACCCACTCATGTTGAAAATACTCCGGATTACAGCAGTTGGGAGGGTTTAGTCTCAAAGATGCTCTGCAGCTTGAGTTTTCTTGGGGGTGAGTAGGAGAGGTTGGGGTTACAGACACAGGATTACGGCAGCAGTTATTCCTATTAAGTCATTAATAGGAATATTAATGAGAGAGAAAGTGGAATAGAGAAAGCAGAATGTGGAGGCTGAAGGCGCACTGGCCCATCCACCTTCCAGCCAGTGCCTGGCCTTGGCTGTGCAGGCACAGTGCTCCTGCTCTCAGTCATGTCTTCCCACCTCTGTTTTAGGCATTCCTTAATCCCAACCCTCTTTCAGCCCTGGACAGCAATGGAAAATCAGTGTTGAAAATGGTATCCAGAGCTTCAGTGCTGCTTCCTCATTCCACAGTCCCAATAATCTTGGCAACTTTTAGGAGTGGTGACTCCAGATACTATCTCAACCCCTAGGGAAACTGAGGTCTGTTTCCTTCCAGCCTATGATGATTCTCCACAGTACCTGCCTCAAACAAAAATACAAGAGAAGGATCACAGTTGAAGACAGTTGAACAGCAAAAGAATCTCCAGTCTCAGGAGTTTAAGATCTGAAATATTTCCCAAGCAGCTAAGGAATAATGATGGTCACAGGGCCTTGGAAGTTTCTCATTAAGGACTAAAGACTTAATTGTAATGATATTATCCCTTGCCAAATCACCGCTGCTTTATTGTCAACTGATCAGAAGATCTTGGCAGATCTAATAAAGTCAGCCTGGACATCTGACCTCTGTTTATTCCCAGAAAGTCATCAACTTGAAGGAGCAATGTAGTCCTGGTGCCAAACCCTAGCTTAAAGCCTGACTATGATCATGATCCAAGAAACTAGAGAAATCTTAGAGTTGTTGTAGTTGGCTGCTTTCCATCTTCTCAGATAATTTTACCCAAACAGTGGTGTGACGGAGATACATGCCCCCATCGCAGGAAGAGAATAATGAAAGGAGGATCAGGCAGAACCTACTGGGGGCAGGTTTGCTGTGCTTTGCTGGGGCCACTCAGTCCCCAGGTTAGGACCAGCAGACTCCAGTTTGCCACTGATCCACCACCATCTTGCTGTGTGGAAAAAGATGGCTGTTTCTTATGTAAATAATTAGGGTCTTATGGATCAGGCCATCATCCAAGGAGGAAGAGCACAGAGCAGTTTTCCAGTGGGTGTACCTGTTTACCCTGGGCTGGACTACAGGAAGCTGGGGTCTTTCTGGTCAGGGCTCAACTCTGACTCCTGACACCCAGTATGCCTTGCCTGCGCATCTGTTCCACATTATGCAGGCCAGGAGCCAGCCATGGAGCTGCCCCAAGAGCCTTAAGTATCATCCCCAGGGGGGGATTCTGTGGTACTTATGGGGTGGGAAACCATCCTGTGGGAAAGAACACAGCCACAGAATACAAAGCAGTGGATGTGAGAGAGAGAGCACCTCACAAAATGTTGACCCTTGAAATCACCAGGTTTGGGGGTAGGGGAGGGAGTGGAGAGTCTTTTTTCATGATGCCCCTTGCTCCTGCAGTGGTCCTCTCCAGCACCCACAGACCTCCAGCACCCTGCAGCCAACTGGAGTCCTCAGGCAGCCAAGGACCTGACTTCAGGCTTTCAGACCAGGGGGCCTCCTTTGTGGAGCAGTTGCTGGGAATTGCTGCCCCAATCCTGGCCCTTCCTGTACCGACCCACTCATTTTGTAACTCCATTGTCCTGTCCATCGAGCACCCCAGCCCCATGACGGCCAAGCCAGATCAGCCTTGTTCAGCTGACATGGTGACTTAGCCCCAGACCTTGAGTCCTGCTAGCCGCCTGCTGGGCTCTCCTGTACAGGGCTCATGTGCATATCTGGATGGAGGCTTCCCAGTGCCCTTTTGCAGTGGCCTCTGGCCTCCACACTCCCTCTCTGGGTAGCAGCTCTCCTTGGTCTCCAGCAGCCACTCCAACCTCCCTGGCAGCTAGTCTTGTTTGCCCTGTTTTCTGAAACGTACCTCCACATCACAGGCCACTCTTGGCTGCTTCAGCTGCACTGTGAGTAGGCTGTTCTGCTTGCTGTCCTGTGCACAGTCGATTTCTGTGACGGGGAAAGCCTGCTGCTGTGTGTCCTCGCTGACACTCACTACGAAGAGCACTTCTGATGTCAGCAGCAAGCACCCTTCATGCTCCTGGCCTGAGCCCCTCACCAAAACCACGTCCAGGGCCATGTGGACTTCTGGTCTGCCCAGAGACTGAAGCATTTTCCTGTTTAAAAGGAGAAAAGTGAGGCCAGAGGCCAGCTTTGAAAAGATGGTCACTTATCAGTGCTCATTATTTACCAATGGGGCGGCCTCCCCAAGGGCAAAGGGCCCTCACCAATCCAATTACTCATTTTAGCTTGAAATGTAATTGTCAGTTCTCAAACACTGATTCTGGTTAACAGAACCTGCTTCCTCCTGGGAATAAAGATTTCCCTTGGTTTTGCTTAGCTCCTTTTCTCTCCATTAGAAATAGCACCTCTAATTCGAGTGCTCATTCCACAGGGAATCTCAGGCCCTCTAGCAAGACTGGGCTTCTCTGCCAATGTATGACTTTCCTTGAGTGGTTAGGTATGGAGCCAGAGGAGTTGTGCAGCTAGCCCCAAACCTGGCAGTGGCAGCCCCTTCCTGTCCCTCTACAGTGCTCTTGTGCTGCCTGAGATGCCAGTGCCAACAATGGCTACTCCTGGGCTCCCTGGAAGTGTGGCCCATTAGCTTGAGAGCAAGCCAGGAGCTATTAACATACAGTATGGATGTAAAGTTGAGCAAGTATCTCAATAATTTTACCAGACATATTTGACATGGCTGTTTGGAGCCTGGTCAGCATGTAGATCACTTGGCTGATAGCGCTGTTTGGGAAGCTGAGAAAGTCCAGCTCCATGTAAAATACCTGTGGTAAGAGAAGCAAGGGAGTTTTACTACTTGTTTTCTGGAAAACAGTTTCATGATGCAATGATGTCATCTGCTCAGAGCCATCCATAAAATGTTACACATCCAAAGTGATGTCACATCTTTGGAAGCAAGTGTATAGATAATCTTTAAACATTACAATACTCTTAACCTTGGTGAGCTTGCATTAGAAAATTAAAATATGAATGTGTTACACAGTCCAAGCATAGACCAGCAATTAGAGGAAGCAAAAACACTGAAAGTAGCTGGTCATGAACGATAGCTTAGATATCATTTGTAATTGATATGTTAAAAAAGTCTAGCTAGGTCTGGTATGGTGGCTCATGCGTGTAATCCCAGAACTTTGGGAGATCAAATCAAGGTGGGAGGATTGCTTGAGTCAAGGAGTTAGAGACCAGCCTGGGAAACAAAGGGAGACCCCCATCTCTACAAAAAATAAATAGTGGTGCGTGCCTGTAGTCCTAGCTACTCCGGGGGCTGAGGTGGGAGGATCACTTGAGCCCAGGAGTTGGAGGCTGCAGTGAGCTATGATTGTGTGACTAAATGTCAGCCTGGGTGACAGCAAACCCTGTGTCTAAAAAAAAACCTCTAGATTGTTAGCTTCCTTAATACTTCTGTATCTGTGCTAAGGCTAGTCAAAAAATAAAAAAAACAGATATATACAAAGGCACACCCTTTGCCTAGATACACTATTTAAATGCTAAGTGACTTAATCCAACTGTTAAACACGAATCCATGTACATTTATGAGTGCGCTTGGGGCCTCTGGTTTATGACACGCTCTCCCTGGTGCCAGCACCAAATGAGGGCACCCAGCAGCAGCCACATAGGCCTTTACAGAGACTCTCCAGAACCAAAGATGGTACAGCATGTGTGCTTTCTGAGGGCTTATAAATGTTTATAAATGACGCAGTCATTAGACTAAGAGTTAGTGGTTTGTAAAACCTTCAGTTCGGTAATAAAAGTTTTACAAGAGTGATGGAAACCAAAAAGGCCATGTGAAGCTCTGCTGTAAGATCTTCTTACATAAGGGAGCATTCTTCAGCCCTGGGAAACACAGTGAGGGACAATGACATTTTCAAAACCAAAAGAATTTATGAAGTATGACTTGACTTTACCTCACTGGAGTCACTATCAAAAGTATGACTTGACTTTACCTCACTGGAGTCCGTATCATAAGGGAGTTTAACTTTTCCCACTTACAGGTTATAGCACATCTTACTGTCAGTTTCCCTGTGAGTGAAAATGTCATTCACAGAAGGAGAGGGAAATGAGGGGGGCGAGGAGGGGAAAGCGAAGAGGAACACATGCTGGCGTCTGTGTGGTCTCTTAAAGGATGCTTTCCGGATGGCTGCCTGAAGTGTGGGCACTCATTCATCTCCACTCCCTTCCTTTCAGACGCTGTTTTTATGCCCTGATCTGGCTGCCTCTTGTCAGGCCTGCTGAGGAGCAGGATGCCTCCCTTGAAACATCCCGTGGGCTTTATGGCCAGATGTGGATGCAGACACAGTGTGCTTACATGTCTGACAAACGGGAGGGTGCTTCTGTGGTTTGTGATACTAGCTAGATAGCCTGCTTCATGACCAAAATGATGACACCAATTTTAGGTAAAATGTTAACGGTTCCAGCCACAGGTTTATGGAAAGTCACTTTAATGTGCTCTGCCACGAATGCAGAAAATAAGCCTGGGAGGAGGTGCTTCCTTTCATAGGCACCCATTACTCATGTGCACACTGCTGCACAGGGAGAGGCCCTGGCACGCCTATCCAAGTGCAGGTAGTGCCGTGCGCCCATGCACTCCACAGCTTTCTGCTTGCGAAAGGGATTTTAGTTGCAGATCCTTTGTTTCTGCCCCGGCCTGGCTGTGAGGAGCAGGATGGCGTCTGTGGGTGAGAAGGCCACCCCAAACCCAAAGATCCATGTGCACATCCACACTCTGTCTCATTCTCTACTGCTTAAAGTTATCTTCCCACAACCTATCACTCCTTCCACATTTCTCATAGGAAAAAGTGCTAATTCTTTTCTCTGTGGTATTCTCCATTCTGCCCTCAACCTCTAAACTGGTCTATCAAGTGTACTGTAAAAAGATTCTGTGACATATACACTGAAACTAGTAACTGGTTTCCTGATTCTACGGTTTTATTATTAGTAGTAAAATTCTACTCTGTGTAAATAAGCATAGAGAGGTAAGAAAGATAGCCACTATTTATCTATCTTTTACTCCTCTACCATGTGAAAGGTTACACTATCTTAGGGAACCCTTGGTATAATCATGCAAATCACTAACGTCTGGGTTGGCCTGATGGGTTTTCCACCAACTTACCGTAACCAGTCTGTGACACCAGCTCAGCAGCTCCTCCGATGGGCTTTGTGAACACCCCCATGATTCCTTTCCCCACACCTGAGATGACACCCTTGGCCTTGTGTCCTGCTGAAGCATGTGCCTCAGATGTTTTCTGGAAGTTCTGCATCGGCTGATCGACTATACCAGCAATTGCACCTGGAATAACAAAAGCCCTCAGTAAGGACAGAGGCTTAAAATTTTTGGAAAATGAAAGGCTCCATCTGG